AATGAAGTAATATGCTTCCAAATGTAAATTAAATTTACAACTATAATAATATTTTTAAGTAGGCATTTTTTAATTTAAATGTAATAAAAACTTTTTATTAAAAATAAATTATATAAAGTAAAATTTAAATTACATAAGCTTACTTTTTATACAATTTATAAATCTAATTATTAGTAATTAATAATAATAAGTAAACTTAAACTACTTAAATTATACAATAATTTTAAGGTCTTGTACAACGGTAACGTAAAAAAGTAAAGCTTTTAGTCATTAACGTTTAGTTTGCGCCGACATTTGGTCTACCCTGTAAAGTTAAAAAATATCAATAATAGGTTTCTGCCCATGATTAAAACCCTCTCTAGTTCTGGTCCATAACAGTTTTGGCTATAAAAACAGTTCTTTGGATCAAACCGCCTAAAAAATATTCAATCCCTGGTCAACCATTCGAAAGGTCTGGAATTCAGACAAAACTGAAACATGATATTGAGCAGAAGACCAATATAGCCATAGGATACACAAAAAAGTAGATTATTTGAAAGGCATAATTGGCATATTTGCTAGTTTTTTTTTTACCAGTTTTTAGCGTAAATGTTTTTATTATTTAAAAACTAAGGAGGTAAAGCTATAACCCAAAGCCCCGCAGATTTAGGAGCCGCTTACTTGGGTATAGTAAAAACACATGAAGCAAAACAAAAAATCCTCTTAGAAGCTCTAAAAAAAAGTTTTAAAGTGTCTTATAGCACAAACAATGACTCAACTCCACTTTCTTTCATAAAAAAAACGCTTACTTTTTAAGAGAATGCTTTACATTGGTATGGTTTTTTTGTCACTTTGATACGTAAAATGCTCACCTGCTCAAGAACTTCTCCTAAAAGTCTCGATCCGGCACTGGCCTAAACAACTAGGATATTCTTAACAACTATGATATTTTTATATGGGCATGAAAAGTTTAGAATTGTTTATGTAAATATTTTTATCTGCGTGTAGCATTATTGATTTAACTACCGCAAGGGCAGTGTTAGCAAAACCTATGGTCCCTCAAAAAAACTGGGGAGGTTTAAGAACCTAAAATATATTTAAAGAGTTTTTTTTTTTTAGATTATGCTAGAGAATTAAAAATTGGGCACCTTAGTTCATCAATACCAAGCTGGCCATCTATACTTACTGGCAAGAAAAGTTCATCAATACCAAGCTGGCCGTCTATACTTATTGGCAAGAAAAGTTCATCAATACCAAGCTGGGCAAATAACTTGGAGGTCCTAGATAGTTTCTCCAAACTGAATTTTCAACCTTACGTGATTGTTTTCAACAATGCACAATGGGCCAGAGGTGACCCTTCAAAATTAACTTTTACATTGGAGTAAATTCTTTTTGTAAATGTAATCTAGAGACCCCAAGCACTCTAAAACTGGTATTTTAGTCACAAAAATGGCAATATTCTACGTTTCGAATATTGATGAAAATGTAAAAAAATTATATAAAAATGAAATATAGAGCCAGCAAGAAAATTTTACAGCATTTTTAATTTCTTAACGGTTTATGTTAGTCCATTGACATCATGTATTGAAATAAATACAAGATATATGAAAATTTATTTTTTATGCTTGCTTTTTTTCAAAGTGTTTTTCAATAAAACCCCTTAATGCGCAACATTCTTTTAATACTTATCTTTACAGAAGCAAAAAAACACAAGGCCGCACTAAGCCGCACATTTGATCTACTTTAAATTATACTCTTAGGTATAGATAAAAATTTACGACCAAAATTTCTGAGCTCAGCTTAGCTAGGTTTTTTATTATAAATGATTTTCAATCGTAGATTTTGCTTTAAAAAACTGAAGAATACGCAAATTTTTAATTAATAATAATAAAAGAAGACGAAAGTTTTGATCATCTAAATCTTGTTAAAATCTTTTTTAAATATCACTTTATATGTTATTGCGAGAATCTATGAAACATTTTCTGAAGGAGGATGGAAACAAATAAGAATTTGGAGACTGGAAACAAATAAGCCTCAAAGTTTCATCCTACTTCCTCACCCCAAACGTGAGGGCAACAAGTTGATAAAATATTTTTTGTGCTTTTCTGAAGTAGACCTATATTCATCGATAAATTTTAAGTTTCATAAAATTTAAAAAAATAAAAGACCATACAAAATTTGCAATCCCCTCAAATTGAAGAGGCTTTAAAAATATTTACAACAATCCGTGAAATTTATAGACTTTTGAAAAATCATAAATGTTCGCAATTTTTAATTTACAACGAAGATGTGCTGCATCAGGCACCTCCATACTAACAGTCTTAAGATACTCGTGCACATCTGTGACACAAGTACCATACTTTTAGAATATAATAGAATATTGGAAGCATACGTGAAGAGAGTTTTTTTCCAGTTATCTTTTAAAATTCGCTTTTAACTGATTTAATTGTTCATCTAGTCAATTTTTGAACATGTTCACCGAAGTCGTGTCAATTACTATTTGCGGCAGGGTATTTCACTTCAAAACAACACGGTTTGTGAAAAAATTCTCTCTTGGCATGTAATCGAGTACTCTTTGCTTTGCAAGTCTTTGATTATGCCACGCATAATATACTTTGACGTCAAAGGACGATTAAATGATACGTGAAAGTTTATTTCATTGATTTCACGCATAAGCCTGAACATCAGAATTAAATCACCTCTTATTCTTTTTTCTTGAAGTGTCGTAAGACCTAAGATGACTCTTTGCTGCTCGGTGGTGCGATGCTTAATCTCAGAAATGGTTTTTGTAGCAGGGTTTTTAACTTTTTCTAGCGTTTCTATGTCTGCCTGTTGGTACGTGACCACGCTTGGATAGCGTACTCTAGGTAAGAAGGAACATATGTGATATACAGTTGTTTTCACATTGAAAAATTACGGCTGCGAAAAGTTTTTTTTAGCCTCCCAAAGGAGTGGTTAGCATTCACCGTAGCTGCTAAAACTTGAGCATTAGGTTTAAGATTATCTGAGATAAGAACTCAAATATCTCTCTCTAAATGAGCAACTTTGATTGCAACTGGCATGCCGTCTGATCCAGGCATGAAATAGTCTCGCTTTGATACTTTTTTTCTTCGGCCAGTATGCATGACATTACACTTTTCAGTATTAAATGAGTGCCGTTAAATGGTCACATGAGTCAGCAATGTGACCATTCAATGGCTTTGTCTAGGTCTGCTTACAATCTCTCCCGGTCAGATTTTATGACGCCGATAATTTTTCTGACATCAGCGTAGAGCTTAATCTGTCCAATTTGTCTGGAAGATCATTAATGTACAGAACAAAAAATAATGTACCCAAGACCAAACCTTGCGGTACGCCGCTAATAACGATTTTCCAATTTGATATACAATTCCAATTTTCCAATTCTTCAATTACGACTCTCTGATGCCTTCCTAAGAGCCATGCTTTAATCCATGCGTGAAGCTCCTCTTTTGTTCCGTAGTTTTGAATTTTGTGGAGAAGCCTATTGTGTGGAAGTCTGTCGAAGGCTTTTGCCAGATCCGTGAAGATTACGTCTGTAGCGTATCCCTGGTACATAGCCTTTGTTAAAAGATCAAGAGTTTCCAGAAGGTTTATTAAGCACAACTTTTTGAAAACGAGACCATGTTGGTTTTTTTATGTAAAATTGTTTATAATACAACCCAACGGGCATTTGTTGGTTTAAAATTGGTTTAGACCACGTTTAGATGGCATTTACGTCGATCTAAACGATTAGAAATCTATTCTAAATGTGTTCTGAATATTTAATTTGCGTTGAAAAGCTAAATCAAACAATTTCCGTACGGAACTAACTTAATTCACACAAAATGTGTAGGACATTTTAAATCTTTCATTATGATTAAAAATTAGAATTTCTTATGAATCTTAAATTATGTAATAAATAGTTTAGAAGAGATAAAAGAAATTTGTTTTTAGTATTATATGTGGTTAACAAAGCAGCTAAAAGGTCCTGTAAGTTTTTCGATAACGTTGTATAAGCGATTAAAAGTAATTTTAAGTACAGTAACAATGTATTTTGATAATTCTTTATTTATTTATTGCTACTAAATAAAGCATTTTTAAAAAAAATAGCAGTAATTTCAAAAAAGTATCAGTTTCAGCATTTTTTTTTTTTATATTTCTTAAATTGTTTTTTCTGTTTGGTTTTTAATAACGCTATAGAACGTTTATAGTTAACTCTTAGCTTCCTAATTTTTCTACTTTTACTAAAAGTAGAAAAATTATAAAAAATAGTTACCACTTAAAAAGCATAAATTTTCTCTAAAAGTTTTAGAGAAAAATTATGCATTTTAAGTGGTAACTACTTTTGAAATAACTAAATAAAATTATTATTGTTTGTTTATATTAAGACCTAACATCTATTTGTTTATGATAGATGTTATATTGATCGAATAGCAATGTTATAATATTTATACTTTTAGTGCAGTCAGTGCCAATCAAAAACTATGAGGTTCAAATATTTATATAATGAATCTTCAGTTTTAGTGTAGGCTTTTAGTGTAAACTAAAAAATATTTTTAAAAGTTTAAGTATTATTTATACATATGATAACCACTAAAGAGAAAATAAATTTACTTACCTCTGATATGATAGATTGTTATATTGTATCATTTATTTAGTAAAGCTACAGTTACGCGGCCTAAAATAATTATATTTTTGCCAGGGGGTTTTGCTACATTGACTATCTTATAGCCTGACTCGCAACGGAGTGCCGCTACATCGACTATCTTATAGCCTGCTGCTACAAGGAAGTGCTGCTACATCGACTGAGGGTTTGGCATGGGAAAGCAACCTTTTTTCTTTTATTAGATCAATGTAGCAAAACCCCCTGGCAAATATATAACTATTTTAGGCCGCGTAACTGTAGGATTACCATTTGTTTTATCTTTTGTAGAAAAGTTAACATGGTTCGAACAATAATATAGTTATATTACATAGTTATATTATATTTCTAAAATCTGCGAAAATATTTTTTTTATTGTTTATTAAGTTTTGTGTGTTTAATTTCATTTAATACTTTATATACAGTCCAGTCAGTTGCAACAACAATTAAAGCAGCAGGAAACAGCCAAGTACATATGCAAGTGGTAAATTGATTTTTTGTGACATTTTTACTCCTTTGAAATTTAGATTTTCCTAAAATAATAATTAAGTTAATGGCTATTTCTGTAAAGATCATTCGGTAAATAAAAACTGTAGTGTTTTTAAAACTTATAGTTATTTTTTTAGTAATCACAAGATAAACTGCAAACTCTGTACTTTTAAATATGATTCTAAAATTTTAACATCTGTCAGATATTTACCTTTTAAATCATAATCTAATTGCTCAGGCTTATGAAAAGCTATTTATAAAAATTCAACGCTTAAAAATTAATGTAAGATTAAAGGTAATTTCTGTTATATTTAAAAGGTACGCTGATGATTGGTTTGAGTCTTTAAAGTGTAAATTAGTTAAAAGAGAGTTCAAATTGTTCTGTTTTTATCTTATGCTCTATATCTAAAAGCTATTGAAATATTTATAGCATTATTTTTCATTTATTTTATTATGTTATGAAAGACCTACCAAGCTTGAAATTTTACGGGTCGAAATATATAGTATGTATATGTATATCATCCCTCGGAACTAGGAAAACTAAAGTCAGCAAAAAAAGCTAAAAAACTAGACGACTAAACTTATTTAAAACACTTTTAACAAGTTTAGTTACAAGTTAATGTTATGTGTTGATGTACCTTCAACCAAATTAGTGTTAACATTTTAGCAAAATGTCATATCGCTAGTCTGTTTGGTTGGAAGAACCAAAAGCTTGATATTTTATTGAATTGTTATTTTAGTTTGTGATAATATAGTTTTTATTCACAAAATGTTAAATAATTTACTTTTTAAATTTATTTGTCATTGCTTTGGATAAAATGTTTTGTTATTCCTTTTACAGATTGTTATGAGGATTGCAAAAGTTTTAAATATCAGAAACTAAAGAAGACATTGATAATCAGCAGATATCAAAAAAGCGCAAAAGTACTAATTATACAACTCTTTTAAAGGTTTCATTTTAATTTGTTAATGTTTATATAGAAACTAATAATATATAAACTGAAAATAATAACATATAATTAATCCATAATTGTGCATTATTCTAATCTAAATTATTTTTTTTTTTTAATTTTTTCAGAGTTAATATTACTAGTTTAATGCAATTACAGTAGAAATGGTTAATTATAGAAAAACTGTACTAAAAATTGAATAAATCGTTGTATATATATATATATATATATATATATATATATATATATATATATATATATATATATATATATATATATATATATATATATATATTATAAATTTAAAAATAATAGTTTTATTTAGTTTGTTCTAATTTTTATGTAAAAAAAAAAGAAGCATGTTTTAATTAGTAAATGATTAACCACTTTTATGGTATAGTAAAATAGTTTTTATTTTTCAGTTGAGGAAGAATTTTATGTTAATGTTAATGCAAAAGGTACGAATATTGACAGGTTAGCCAATTTGATGTTACAATAAACATGAAATAAAGTTTGTGAAGACCTTAGTGCCAAAAATACTTGCATGCATTATTCATGCATGCTATATTATAGTATAGCATGCATGCATGATGCATTCAAGTATAAAAAAAAAGTTACAAATGTTTAATTATACAAAAAGAATATGGATGTGGTACTGCAAGTATATTCAACTGATTATGTAAGTAAGTTGTCCTACTTTACATCTTTGAAGACTAATAATAACTGTAATGAACATATCTCAGACAATATACACTCGGATTTATATTTTAGTTAAACCATCACCTCTTCCACACCCACCTTGTCTCAAGCATTAAATCGCATTCTAAGATATCTTTATTCAAATTAAGTGTGACTACTTTACTAAAAGACTCTAGAATGGACCAATCAAGTAAGATGTCTAAATCTATATCTTTTATATAGAACTTCTTTACTTTTAGATAAACCTGTTAATTTTATGACTTATGAACATATTTAGCAATGTAATCCTTTTAGGATACACTTTTTAAAATCAAATTTACAATGTTTTAGTAAATTTTTATTTAAAATAACTTTGTATACATAATATATCTATATAGTTATTTACATTGTAGCTAACCCATCAGTACTTGCAAAGTCTCCTTTTCTGGTAGCTATAATTTAGATTTTATCAATGTTTAATGTTTTTATATGATATATAATACTTATAAAGATACTGATAAAAAGTTGTTTTGTATTGTTTTGTAAACTTTTATTAGAAACTTTTATTTATAAACTTTTCTTATGGTATTATCTATGGCCGTCACCACCGGTGTTGACGGCCCCCCAACTTTTTTTTAGGATAACTATATTTTTCTTGAAATGTAAGATTTTTTTTTTAAATCGGGGAGTGAGCCTCTTTGAAACTTTCCCCACTTTGGCCGTTAAAGTGATAACAAGGCCGTTTTGACGGTCATGTTATCA